AGATATAAAACATGATATAAACAGACGGCACAGACTGAATATGGCGGGATATAAAACATGATATAAACAGACGGCACAGACTGAATATGGCAGGATATAAAACATGGTATAAACAGACGGCACAGACTGAATCTGGGGGGATATAAAACATGGTATAAACAGACGGCACAGACTGAATATGGGGGGATATAAAATATGGTATAAACAGACGGCACAGACTGAATATAGCGAGATATAAAACATGGTATGACAGACGGCACAGACTGAATATGGGGGGATATAAAACATGGTATAAACAGACGGCACAGACTGAATATGGCGGGATATAAAACATGGTATAACAGACGGCACAGACTGAATATGGCGGGAAATAAAACATGGTATAAACAGACAGCACAGACTGAATATGGCGGGATATAAAATATGGTATAAACAGACGGCACAGACTGAATATAGCGAGATATAAAACATTGTATAACAGACGGCACAGACTGAATATGGCAGGATATAAAACATGGTACAAACAGACGGCACAGACTGAATATAGCGAGATATAAAATATGGTATAAACAGATGGCACAGACTGAATATGGCAGGATATAAAACATGGTATAAACAGATGGCAGGATATAAAACATGGTATAAACAGACGGCACAGACTGAATATGGCAGGATATAAAACATGGTATAAACAGACGGCACAGACTGAATATGGCGGGATATAAAACATGGTATAAACAGACGGCACAGACTGAATATAGCGAGATATAAAATATGGTATAAACAGATGGCACAGACTGAATATAGCGAGATATAAAACATGGTATAAACAGACGGCACAGACTGAATATAGCGAGATATAAAACATGGTATAAAGAGATGGCACAGACTGAATATAGCGAGATATAAAACATGGTATAAACAGACGGCACAGACTGAGTATAGCGAGATATAAAACATGATATAAACAGACGGCACAGACTGAATATGGCGGGATATAAAACATGATATAAACAGACGGCACAGACTGAATATGGCAGGATATAAAACATGGTATAAACAGACGGCACAGACTGAATCTGGGGGGATATAAAACATGGTATAAACAGACGGCACAGACTGAATATGGGGGGATATAAAATATGGTATAAACAGACGGCACAGACTGAATATAGCGAGATATAAAACATGGTATGACAGACGGCACAGACTGAATATGGGGGGATATAAAACATGGTATAAACAGACGGCACAGACTGAATATGGCGGGATATAAAACATGGTATAACAGACGGCACAGACTGAATATGGCGGGAAATAAAACATGGTATAAACAGACAGCACAGACTGAATATGGCGGGATATAAAACATGGTATAACAGACGGCACAGACTGAATATGGCGGGAAATAAAACATGGTATAAACAGACGGCACAGACTGAATATAGCGAGATATAAAACATTGTATAACAGACGGCACAGACTGAATATGGCAGGATATAAAACATGGTATAAACAGACGGCACAGACTGAATATAGCGAGATATAAAATATGGTATAAACAGATGGCACAGACTGAATATGGCAGGATATAAAACATGGTATAAACAGACTTCACAGACTGAGTATGGCAGGATATAAAACATGGTATAAACAGACGGCACAGACTGAATATGGCAGGATATAAAACATTGTATAACAGACGGCACAGACTGAGTATGGCGGGATATAAAACATGGTATAAACAGACGGCACAGACTGAATATGGCGGGATATAAAACATGGTATAACAGACGGCACAGACTGAATATGGCGGGATATAAAACATGGTATAAACAGACGGCACAGACTGAGTATGGCAGGATATAAAACATGGTATAAACAGACGGCACAGACTGAATATAACGGGATATAAAACATGATATAAACAGACGACACAGACTGAATATGGCAAGATATAAAACATGGTATAACAGACGGCACAGACTGAATATGGCGGGAAATAAAACATGGTATAACAGACGGCACAGACTGAGTATGGCAGGATATAAAACATGGTATAACAGACGGCACAGACTGAATATGGCGAGGATATAAAACATAGTGTAAACAGGCGGCACAGACTGAATATAGGCGGGATATAAAAACATGGTATAAACAGAGCTGGCTAGACTGAATATGGCGGGATATAAAACATAGTATAAACAGGCGGCTGTAGACTGAATATGGCGGGATATAAAACATGAGTACCAACAGGCGGCACAGACTGAATATGAAGCCGGGATATAAAACATGGTATAAACAGGCGGCTGGGCGAATATGGCGGGATATAAAAACATGGTATAACAGACGGCACAGACTGAATGTAAAGCGAGGATATAAAACATAGTATAAACAGGCGGCGCAGACTGAATATGGCGGGATATAAAACATGGTATAAACAGGCGGCTGGAGCTGAATATGGCGGGATATAAAAACATATAGTATAAACAGGCGGCACAGACTAGAGTATGGCAGGATATAAAACATGGTATAAACAGACGGCACAGACTGAATATAACGGGATATAAAACATGATATAAACAGACGACACAGACTGAATATGGCAGGATATAAAACATGGTATAACAAACGGCACAGACTGAATATGGCGGAAATAAAAACATGGTATTGCTGTGACGCGTACAGACTGAATATGGCGGATATAAAACATGGTATAAAACAGACGTACGCTGAATATAGTGAGATATAAAACATGGTATAAACAGACGGCACAGACTGAGTATGGCAGGATATAAAACATGGTATAAAACAGACGGCACAGACTGAATATGGCAGGATATAAAACATGGTATAAACAGACGGCACAGACTGAATATAGCGAGATATAAAACATGATATAAACAGACGGCACAGACTGAATATGGCGGGATACAAAACATGATATAAACAGACGGCACAGACTGAATATGGCAGGATATAAAACATGGTATAAACAGACGGCACAGACTGAATATGGGGGGATATAAAACATGGTATAACAGACGGCACAGACTGAATATGGCAGGATATAAAACATGGTATAAACAGATGGCACAGACTGAATATGACGGGATATAAAACATGATATAAACAGACGGCACAGACTGAATATAGGGGGATATAAAACATGGTATAAACAGACGGCACAGACTGAATATGGCGGGATATAAAACATGGTATAAACAGACGGCACAGACTGAATATGGGGGGATATAAAACATAGTATAACAGACGGCACAGACTGAATATGGCGGGATATAAAACATGGTATAAACAGACGGCACAGACTGAATATGGCGGGATATAAAACATGGTATGACAGACGGCACAGACTGAATATGGCGGGATATAAAACATGGTATAAACAGATGGCACAGACTGAATATAGCGAGATATAAAACATGATATAAACAGACGGCACAGACTGAATATGGCGGGATATAAAACATGGTATAACAGACGGCACAGACTGAATATAGCGAGATATAAAACATGATATAAACAGACGGCACAGACTGAATATGGCGGGATATAAAACATGGTATAAACAGACGGCACAGACTGAATATGGGGGGATATAAAACATGGTATGACAGACGGCACAGACTGAATATGGGGGGATATAAAACATGGTATGACAGACGGCACAGACTGAATATGGCGGGATATAAAACATGGTATAAACAGACAGCACAGACTGAATATGGCAGGATATAAAACATGGTATAACAGACGGCACAGACTGAATATGGCGGGAAATAAAACAAGGTATAACAGACGGCACAGACTGAATATGGCGGGATATAAAACATGGTATAAACAGACGGCACAGACTGAATCTGGCAGGATATAAAACATGGTATAAACAGACGGCACAGACTGAATATAGCAAGATATAAAATATGGTATAAACAGACGGCACAGACTGAATATGGCAGGATATAAAACATGGTATAAACAGACTTCACAGACTGAGTATGGCAGGATATAAAACATGGTATAAACAGACGGCACAGACTGAATATGGCAGGATATAAAACATTGTATAACAGACGGCACACAGACTGAGTATGGCGGGATATAAAACATGGTATAAACAGACGGCACAGACTGAATATGGCGGGATATAAAACATGGTATAAACAGACGGCACAGACTGAATATGGCGGGATATAAAACATGGTATAAACAGACGGCACAGACTGAGTATGGCAGGATATAAAACATGGTATAAACAGACGGCACAGACTGAATATAACGGGATATAAAACATGATATAAACAGACGACACAGACTGAATATGGCAGGATATAAAACATGGTATAACAGACGTCACAGACTGAATATGGCGGGAAATAAAACATGGTATAACAGACGGCACAGACTGAGTATGGCAGGATATAAAACATGGTATAACAGACGGCACAGACTGAATATGGCGAGGGATATAAAACATGGTATAAACAGGCGTCACTATTTGAAATGCCTTTTTCATATTAAGATTTGTGAGTTTAACCTTGAAATTATCTTAACTATAGTGATTATCACACTATTTTGGTCTCTTGTATTTATATTCATGTAGATCTACCTTTGCACATTTTATAATGAGGATTTTTGAGGAACCTTGTATTTCTACATCCATAACTGAAAAGGGTCACTTACTTTTTTCACATCTATGAGTGTTTTCACTTGTACTGGGAAAGTGTTGAACTACTTATTAAGGGATATAAAACATGGTATAAACAGACGTGACAGACTGAATATGGCGGGATATAAAACAGGAAGATGTGATTATTAGGAAGTTGGCTGCCACAGGCCATGATGGACGCCTAAATGATATAAGAACATTTTGGTTTAACAACAGATAGTACTGCAGGCAAGAAGAGAAATGTGCTGGTTATTTATTTTGTGACCCAGATGACTCACAATTGAAATAATATATTTTTTTAATCTCCTCCCAGCAATGTGCTCGCCTCCTTGTGGTCATGGAGGAACCTGCATGCGACACAACATGTGCCAATGTCCAACTGGATGGGCTGGTCCTGGCTGTCAGACAGGTAGGTATTCTATCTATATAACACTCACCTGAGAGGGCAGAACCTGCCTACCAGACACTTAGATATTCTATGTATATAGGGACCTACCTGGGAGGGCAGGCTGTCGGACCTACCTGGGAGAATGGCTGTCAGACAGAGATATTCTATGTATATAGGGACCTACTGTCACAGCACAGCCTGAGCCCTGCAGACAGCAAGGTGTGGCTGCCCCTTTAAGAGACCTGGCTAGGTTTGAACTCAGTGCTCCAGTCAGGTTCTCTGCCATGACATCCACCAGGGGGCTTCAGTTTCATTTTGCATTTTTCTGCAAACTGACCCCTTGCCTGGATTAAGCAGCACTGAACCACCTGCAACTCTTTTCCAATTTGGGTCAGCTGCATCTAATTAGCAGGCTGTAAAAATCAGCCCTGCCTGAAAGCTAGTATCTGGTAATTTTGCCTGTTTGGTTTTTCCTGTCGGATCCCTGCCACTCTGCTGACTGATTTCCTGGACTCTGGCCTGCTTTACCGACTACGTTACTCCGCTGCCAGCCCTGAATTCTGCTTCTCGTCTGACCCTGCCTTTGGATTTCCCCTTAATCTGTGCTTCTGGTTTTTGCCTCCTTCCTGTGCCATCTCCTGCAACTGGGCTCCAACTCCTGGTAAACCGTTACATAAGTACCCAGGTGACTGTTACACCTACCTGGGAGGGCAGTACATGGCTGTCAGACAGACATATTCTATGTATAAAGGGACCTACCTGGGAGGGCAGAACCTGGCTGTCAGAACTTATTGAGATAAACCCTGGAGCCTGGATATTATAATAGATTAATGTATTGCCAGGTTCCCAGAGGGAATGGAATAAATACTTGTGTATTAGGGAGGATAGGTATTGCCAGGTTCCCAGAGGGAATAGAATGGCTGCTCCTTTTACGAATGCCCAATTTAGTAGACATGCAGGTTATTCACTAAAGTGAGAACACAAAACCTGGCAACACATTAATGTGTTGAAATCACAGATTTCGATAACGGTGACATTGACGGGCTTCTCATTTTAGCTGTAATTTCTATACATTAATCCACAGGATTGTTTCTATTTACCATTTTCCCCCCAAATGTCCATGTCCTTCTCACCTCCACCGAGCGTACATCGCATATGATGTAATGACTTTGGTTTTTCTCTTTAGCGGTGTGTGAGCTGCCCTGCACCAATGGGGGGCGTTGTGTTGCTCCTGACACGTGTCAGTGCCCGTCCGGATACAGCGGAGGACAGTGTTTGATTCGTAAGTCTCTCTCAATGGCAGACCTGCTTTATCAGTATTAACCACACTCACAAACTGGGCTTTTGGTGTAGGATGACTTTATCAATCGTCAGAGGGCTATTTCAAGATTCATTATCACTCTAGCCCTCAGTACTTGTTAGGAAGTAATCTGATGCCATTCCTTGGTAACGGGGCAAACCATTTTACAACAGTTTGCATTGTTACCTGGGTCCCCATCGAGTGCCAGAGCTTCTCTGTAGGCAGCTGCTGTCATTAATATAGTAGCGGTGGGGGGTTCACCCCGAGCAGCCCTGTTTTTGGCCCCTTTGTATCATGTGAAATGTGCTGGGACATTTTTTCAGTTGGGCTGCAGTATCCATGCTGGCATTGCCTTGAGGAAATCAGGGGCCCATGGACCTTAAATAATGCACTGCACCGGGCCCCTGTCACTTTGGGAGTTCCCCCATGGCCTACTGGCAGGAAGTGAGTTCAGGTCACTTCCTCCCAGCAAACTGGGCACCACATGGGGAGGAAAGGAGGAGGAGAGGGACTGAGGAAGCCTGGAGTCTCAGACTCCCATCAGCCTAGGTGAGCCAGCTCTCACTGGACGCCAGGGAAGCCACCCTTCTGTGCCCAAAAAGTTAGGAAACAGGAAGGTGGTAAAATATGTAAATTTTGTGTGTATGTGTACTTGTGTGTCTGTTTGTTCACCTGTGTGTCTGTATGTACCCATGTTTGTGTGTGTGTGTGTACCTATGTCAGTGTCCCTGTAGGACAGTGTGTGTGTGCATATTTGTGTATTTGTCGTGGCTGGCACTACCATAAGGAGACATGGGCGCTCGCCTTTAGAGTGCACCGGCTGAGGGGCACAATATCTAAGTGACTGGATGGAGGGGAGGGCACAAGACTCTTCTCCTGCCGGTCAATTAATGAAGTGTGGCTGAACTCCGCCTGCACCTCCGTCCACCTACCGGCTCTGTAGTATGCCGCAGGCTGTTTGGAGGGGTCGGAGATCTAAATCACGTCATATCCCTGCTCTCTGTGTTCCGCACAAGGCGGTGGTGCCTTAGTGACGAGGCTAGGCTGAGAGGGTCGGCAAACTCAGGAACAGCCATGGGCTCAGGATTGTAACTCTAACTAATTTCAGGCATACCAGGAAGGCATGTATTAGATTAAGGCCCCAAGACGTCATTTAGATGATTAGCAGGATATCATGGCAGGGATGATGTCACCATCCATGCATTACTGGACTCTGTACATGAAAATATCAGGCAGATCATGTGATGTATGTATTTTGAATACTATAGTAAATAAAGTAAATGTCTATTATCCCTAGCTGTCTGCTCTCCGTCCTGTCTGAATGGAGGAAAATGCATTGATGTCAATAAGTGTGTGTGCCCCAGTGGGTGGATGGGGGCCCGTTGCCAGATCGGTAAGAACCAATGGACTGTATCTTGCATTGTTACCTGCGTATGTGTTCTCACGCTGTTTATTTTTCCAGAACCGGTACGCTGTGAGAAGAAATGTGAAAATGGGGGGAAATGCATGGGGTACAACACCTGCCGCTGCCCACTTGGGTTTCTGGGGACACAGTGTGAGACTGGTGAGAGAATTCGAGAAGCAATATAAACTGGACTCTTCTTTACTGCTTTATAAAACCCCAAACCAGCTAACAATGAATAGCAGCAGGGAACAAAAACAGTCTCAGAACACGCCTGGCACCATAACCACTACTGCCCGCCTGGAGTGTTCCTTTAATGTAATAGCTCAATCAATTTTCCTTTCCTCTAGCGGTGATTGACCCTTGTGTCCCCCCATGTCAGCATGGGGCCACATGCCAGCAGTTCAACAAATGTGCCTGCGCAGAAGGCACCGCCGGACATAGATGTGAAAAACTGTGAGTAATGGCAAGGATTATGGGATACCAGTATAGGAAGCTGTGAGTAATGGCGGCATGAGTGTGAAGGATTATGGGATGTCTGTATAGGAAGCTGTGAGCAATGGTGGCATGAGTGTGAAGTGAAAACAGGGAGTCATAGGAGTTGTAATTTATAAAGTGTGTCAGTTTAAGTTTTCCTCTTCCAGGACTTGTCCTATTGTTACCACAAAGGTGAGCACATCGCGGGCTATCAGACAGGGGGTGCGAGAAAGCTACGTAGAACGATGCGGCCCCCTAGGCGTCCAACTGTGCACCAAATATCGGTACGTAATTGGAAACTGTGAACGAGTCACACTTCACTCATTCAGTTACAGTGAAATCTAGTACCAGGGTGTTATGGTAACATTGTTACATTGTAACATAACGCAGTAACATAGTTACACAGCAATCTAATATTGTAGTTACAGTGAAATCTAGTATCATGGTGTTATGGTAACATTGTTACATTGTAACATAGTATCACAGCAATTTATTATTGTAGTTACAGTGAAATCTAATACCATGGTGTTATGGTAACATTGTTACATTGTAACATAATAACGCAGTAACATAGTTACACAGCAATCTAATATTGTAGTTACAGTGAAATCTAGTATCATGGTGTTATGGTAACATTGTTACATTGTAACATAGTATCACAGCAATTTATTATTGTAGTTACAGTGAAATCTAGTATCATGGTAAGATTGTTACATTGCTACATAGTAACATAATTACAGAGCAATATTATATTGTAGTTAGATACAAATACAGTAACCTTTTTAGATAGCAATTTATTAACCTATTCCTGTGTCTTGCAATCCTATCGTACTATTCCAGAAAAGAGAGGATCCTGGAAGGATACAAATATTGCTGATAATCTAAAGCCTTTCAAATTATTTCATATTTCTGAATAAACTTTAAAATTATTTAATATTTAGAACAATATTTTAATAATAATGTTGATACTTGTTTTTTTTTATCTATGGTTTTTAAAAATATTTAATATTTTGAGAATCTTTTTAAACATTTATCCAAAACAATATAAAATTGAGGCAATATTCAGGAAACTTATTTAAATCTTTTGGAGTTGATATTGGTCTCTGTGGCACTTTTGCTTTTCTAATTTAACCTCTCTAACGGCTATTCTGCAAATTCTGTTGGCATTTTTATATTTAATAAATTATACCTGTGAGTGACCCATCTGACTTACATTTATTAGTTTAGTTTTTTTGTTGCCAAATTTTTACACTTTTTTTTTTATTTTTTTTTTATTATATTGGTTTCTCATTAAACTCCTTTCTGTTATATCTATAGCTTTGTATTTAGTATATGTAGACCTTGGTGTAAGTTGATAGGTGTTTTATAACAATAATTTAATTTAAATAAAATCCACTTATCTTGCTGATTTTTTTTTTTTTTGTATGGTGGAACTCACAAAGCATTTTTAAAACATTTAATCCATTGAATGCACATCTGACCATATGATCCATGTTTTCTAAACATGGTGTCTTATTTTAGAATTAATCAGGTGCGCGTTCACGTCCAGGTCTATGTAGTTGGCTACAAAATCCAATGCCCAAGCAGAACCAAAGTGTGAGGGGTGGAGTTACAACCGACTTCAGAATTTCTTGATGTAACACACGTTCCGGCAACCAGCAAAATCTTCCCCAAATAACACCAATCGTGGCCGATGGTCTCTTCACCAATATATCGGCATATTTATATGTGTAATAAATCGATTCCTTCTCCCGTTAATTCGATTGTCTAAAAAAAATAAAGAATATAATTCTATAAAGTGTAATAATTCATGAATGTAATTTGAGACTAATATTTCTGTGCTTGTTGATGTAATAAATCTGCTTTTTACTTAACATTGGTTCACTTTTGTTATGGAGTAATTCATTTCTGTGCCTCACACAGACTTGCTACACACTTCCTGAAAAATAGTTTCAATTGTTTACCATCCCTTATTGCACACTGTGTTTTTAATTTAGAATTTGTTATCTCCTATTCTGTTAATTTGCTACTGGAGTCTGCAGCAGCCTCCTGTGTTAATAGAGCTGGAGATAAGAGTGTCTAAAAGTAAACACACCGTGCTGTCAAATCTGATTAAAAAATGAAACCATTTTTCATGCAGACTGTGTCAGTCACAGCCAGGGGAGGTGTGGCTAGGGCTGCAAAAAACAGAAGCAAAAGGTGATTTAACTCTGCCATGGCAGAGATTTGAGCAGTGAGACTGCAGGGGAATAATCTATACACCAAAACTGCTGCATTAAACTAAAGTTGTTTTTAAAGCCTATAGTGTCCAATTGGTAAGGTGTCAGCAAACTTTTAGCTTCAAAGGATTTTATAGGCATCCATCTTCTCAATTAAGTGATCTAGGTAACACATACCTGTCTTTTTTTTTAACCCTGCAGCTGAACACAATAGCACTTTGTAGAAAGGAAGACAGCCACTAGAGGCACTTCTGTAGCTATAACCAAATTCTAATTAATTGTAGCTTAAATGACTTTCCTAGAGAGTATCTGGCACAGTGCAGCGTGGTACTGCGCATCAGCCTCCCACTGCTTCTTTATGGGTGGCAGCACAGAGAGCTGCACGTCGTAGGATGTAAGATAAGTACATTTTACCTTTTAAACCCGGCATGACCCACGTCCTACATAGGAAGAGAAACATAACATTACATAGACACATAGTTACATAGCTGAAAAAAGACTTCAGTCCATCAAGTTCAGCCTTCCTCACATATGTTTTTGCGGTTGATCCAAAAGAAGGCTGTGGCAAAGATAGCCACCAATAGACTGAGAGAGGACTTTCAAAATTCGAAACTTGGATTACAATGGCCGTATTGCTATTAGACTGGTTATCCTCAGGCAATCGGTTCACGAACTACATCCCTTGCATTACCCACGAAAGTGTGTAAAATACCGAATGAGAGACCACCCCGGTGCAATTGTGTGTCCCTTATTACCGAAGGCAACAATGTTGCAAAGGCTGGTAATTGAGGTTCGTGTGCGGCCGCCATTTGCCTGTCGAACACGTGGCGGCAGCCATCTTACGCACGAACAGCGGTGTTTGGCCGTCGAGTGTCTGGAACTCAAATCGGACACTCAACTAACCAAGCACCGCTAAGACCTCCAGCACTCCGGAAAGGGAAGAATCTTACGCATGAACAGCCCAGCAGTCGGTAGGATGAATCCCGCGAATGAGGGGATTCATTCGAATGCAAAGGCAAGCATGGATGACAAAGACTTTCGTGACTTTTTACAAGGGAACTGAGACCGACCGCAGGGCCAAAACTCATGGAACTATTTTCAGCTACTGTGCCCGTGCGGTCGGTCAAATCTTTTCCCTTCCATAACCGCCGAACCCCTGGTCCGATCTGGGTGATTTTTGAGTATGTTTCTCACCCAGATCAGGGCTACCAGGGGATCCCTCATTTAAAGGTGTACCCCCTGTATTTGGAGTACATCCAAGAATTGGGGAAAAGTATGTACATTTTAATAAGTTTAACTGTTAAGCTAAGGGGAGGAGATGTGGGGGAGGTACCGACTATGTGATTGGATACTGTAATAATTATGGAAGTTGCCTCCCTTGCATGGGAAAAACACATAAAAACAGAGCTTGTGCATTAAAAGCCAGTTGACTCCCAGACTATGTGTCGTCTAGTCCTTGGGGAGAGGGATTATGCTGTGTTTTATACTTCTGTATGCTGAATCTTTGTTTCCAGCGGAGCATCTTTGGATTAACCCCTTCTACTCCGCTACAAAGACAAAAAAACCCAGTCTTAAACGCTTCCAATTTTGCAACAAACTCGGGAAAACAATAATTTTTGACCCGAAAATAGCAGTCAGATATCTTCTTGGATCAAGCAGCTATTACCCCACTAATTAGAAATGATATCCCTGTATGTTATGTTTTTGGAAGTATTTATCCAATTGATGTTTAACCCCCTTACACCGTAACGACTTTTAGCCTCCGCGACCTCCATTTACTCACCTCCGCCGCGTTCCTCTTCTGGGGGACTGCCCGACATCCCAGGCATTCCCCCTCTGAAATTTAGGCCCCGGGAGCCATGTGATCGCTCTGAAAGAATGATCACGTGGTCAGTATAGCTGGCTTAGGATCTGGCAGCAGGGGGACTGCCTAAAGTCCTACAGTCCCCCTGCTGCTGAAATCATTAAAAAAAAAAAAAGTGAATACAGCAATCAGGGATAAAAAAAAAATATATATATTATATATTGCGCATATATACAAAAATTGCAAAAGATAGCACTCCAAGGACTTATATAAAATTTCACTTTTATTTACCTTCAATAAACAGTCTACATATAACAGTCTATATGTAGAAAGGCCATTAGGCCTGAATTTGTGGGAGGAGTAAGTCCCCTACTTAAACTCCCAGCCCCTACTCACCTCTACCGGTTGATCTACCAGTTGATTGTCTATCTCCATAGCAACCAGCACTTCCGGTCCGAGCTTCCCGCCAAACGGCTCCAGTCTCCCGCAGTAAGAGGTGTCCAGTGGAATCCTCCATCCGTCCTGCAGCCCTGCCACCAGCCGTCCTGCAGCCCTGCCACCAGCCTTCTTCCCAGCTGTGGTACTTTGCTTACGGTCACGAGACCGGCACGCTCACGTAAGCTTGTGAGGGAAATAGCGTTCGGCTATTTCCCTCCGTTCGGGCCTAAAAACGTAGGGGTAGGCTCCCTTTTACTATCACATTATCAATTTTCATATACTTACCTATTCGTGCGTTTCCGCGTTCGCGCCACTAAACTAGACGAACGCTCGCTAAACTTACGTTTCATGGGGGCTTTCGCACGATCTAAACTGCCGAACTACGTACAAACATAACTCTAAAGCTAATCTTTTCAATTCTGTTTTCCGTTCGAACATACGCACGAACCATGTACTTATTACTTACCCGTTCGGGCATTTTAAGCGAATTGTGTAAACCTGTTCACCCCTCGCTAACTTTCCTAATTCATGCTATTTCTAATTTTTAACATAAGCAGGTCCCCCGTTCGGCTAAAACTACTGATCCCCTTTCAGTATAATACAAACATTTTGTGCACACAAATTCATATGATTACTCATACTGTCTGTTCGGTTATTTAACTGTTTGTACTACCTGTCAGTAGGAGTTATTAAATACATGTAAAAAACTACAACTATTTATCGAGATGTTGCAACTGGGAGTGATACAACACTCGGATAGCCCCTGGGCGTCTCCGGTAGTCTTAGTGCCAAAACTTAATGAAAAGACTATCTCAGATGCCTACCCTATGCCCCGAATCGATGAGCTCCTAGATAAAATGGCCAGGGGCCAGTACTTCAACACAATAGACTTATGCAAGGGGTACTGGCAGATACCACTAGCTGAGGACGCCATCCGGAAGTCCGTGTACCCCGTTTGGACTATACCAATTTAAGGTAATGCCATTCGGGATGAAGAACGCCCCGGCTACTTTTCAGAGGATGGTGGATTGGCTACTGGATGGGTCACAGGAGTATGCTTGCGCATACTTAGACGATATTGCCATCTTTAGCAACTCCTGGGACGAGCATTTAACCCACATAGGAGTCATACTCGACCGTATTATGGAGGCAGGGTTAACTCTGAAGCCTAGCAAGTGCCACGTAGGGATGGCCGAAGTACAATACCTAGGGCACAGGGTAGGGAGCGGGCAACGAAAACCTGAACCGGCCAAGATAGAGGCAGTAGCAAAGTGGCCAACCCCCCGCACTAAGACCCAAGTCCTAGCATTTCTGGGTACCGCCGGGTATTACCTGAAATTCGTGCCTAATTATAGCGCCATAGCCAAGCCCCATGTAAAAAACTACAACTATTTATCACCTAAACTGTGTTTTCTGGTTAACTATGTCTAAAATATTAAAACCATAGCCACTGTATCTTAATAATCAGTTCTTTTTCTACACCCATGTGGTTAGTAATCTATGTTTTACGTTCCTTTATCTAATAAAATAAATTCCTCCTGACACCAAACAAAAGGGCAGAATTCTATTAATTCCACAACAACCCTGTTCAAATATACATATATTATTATTACACGATGATCTAGGGTAACACTGGTAAAACCCATAATATTTTATTTTAATTTACTACGTTTTCTCCTTAAAGTTACGCAGTCATTAATCCTGCCCTTGTCACATTTCTTTGGCTCCACAGATTGCCTCGGTTTCTCTTATTTCTGCTTAAAGTTAGCAAATTCAAGGTCTTGTATTTACAAACCCAGGTATAGTATTTACTCACCATGTTTTCAGTCATGTCCATGCCTCAATAGTGCATGCACTCTAAACTTATCACAGTGAAATTGGTTATTTATAGCTTACTATCACAGCATTCACAAATTATTAAATATTTAATGGGTTTAATCCATAGCTCCAGAATTTTTCTAGGCCTCCACCGGTTTCTACGAAGGAACCGGTGCTCATCCTAGTACCCGTATAACAAATCAAGGTATATTTCTCTACTCATTACAGGACTTTTTCATACAAGACCTAACGCGGTCTCGATTCATTACGACTAACTCTAGGTCCTACGTCCTTGGTGTGATAAATTCTCTCCTTTTTTCTTAACCAGGAATACGGTCATACTGCCATCAGGCAAGAAATTACCAACCTACCTGTTAAGACACCCCCAGTGTCTTTAAGCAAAACCGCCGTTTAGTCGACCTTCCCCATCTGTAATATCAATAAGCTCCGTTCGCATAACCTGTAGTGCACGAACCAAATGCAGGGGAAGCGGCAATCTCCCGACCGGGATCCGTGAACGGCTCCAAACTCCCGAACGGCAATACACGAACTGCTGCTAGCCGCCGAACAATAACATCCACCAAGCGGCTTTCGTTTCCATCCAGCAGTCTCTAAACGTGAAGAAGAAATCCCCCCAATAACGAGACAGAAGCTCCGCATTGAGGGTCAAACAGGATCTGGCTTTACTGTGGGCTACCTGCCCGTATTTATGCAGGTCTCCCACTTGGTGGACACTCCCCTAGGGGACCAAATGGGAGACTTAAATGACAGACAGATATGGGGACATTCCAGACACACAGTCACAGTGTTTACCCACAATGCACTATGATTCCCTCCCCTCTGCCCTGGAGATAATTACCAAGTAACTCAATTATCTCCAGGACAAAGCCAGTCGCCATTTTAAACATAAAACCAGAAAAGACATAAAAACATATAATTTTACAATAACGGAACATTCTGCATTCGTATCACATATCCCCAGATAGCCTGGATCTGAGTGCATATTATTGTCGAATAGCGCTCAGATCCCACACACATAGTTCAATCGCCATGGAGTCAAAGTTCTTACAGTCTTTCGGTATGCGATTGACTCCATGGGAAGGCTATCAGGGTTAAGTCCTTTTGTATGCTTCAAAACTCCCGAACGGCCGGTGTTCGTATGCTTAGAGAGGGTTCCGAGAAGGGCTACTAAACTGGTTCATGGATTGCGGGATAAAACTTACCAGGAAAGGTTAAAGGATTTTAACATGTATAGCTTGGAGGAAAGACGAGACAGGGGGGATATGATAGAAACATTTAAATACATAAAGGGAATCAACACAGTAAAGGAGGAGACTATATTTAAAAGAAGAAAAACTACCACAACAAGAGGACATAGTCTTAAATTAGAGGGACAAAGGTTTAAAAATAATATCAGGAAGTATTACTTTACTGAGAGGGTAGTGGATGCATGGAATAGTCTTCCAGCTGAAGTGGTAGAGGTTAACACAGTAAAGGAGTTTAAGGCATAAGGCTATCCTAACTATAAGATAAGACTAGGGACTAATGAAAGTATTTAGAAAATTGGGCAGACTAGATGGGCCGAATGGTTCTTATCTGCCGTCACATTCTATGTTTCTATGTTTCTTTCGTGGAGGCAGCCAAGCGTTCCGTTGTTTCAGCGGTGTTCGCCAGAAAAAGTGTCCGTTTTTAGTTCCATGAAAATAGAGCCGAACACCGCTGGGCTTTCGCGTGGTTTAAAATGGCCGCTGCCTCATGGTCGACATACGAACGACGACCACCCTGAATTCGTGTAATTGAGAAGTGTCTGCGGTTAACCACAACGTTCTAATTGAGATCAATAGGTTAACCAGCAGCACACTTCTCTCCTGGGTGGCCGTCCGTTCGGCAGGTTTGTTCGGGAAAAAACAGTCATTCGTATGGCTGGGCTATAGAAAACAGCCATTCACACGAATAGGATAGAAACAGACGAATACACCTGAAATGAGCAGACAGATGGTTCTGTCACACGGCTCCCTCCTTGTGGGACACTCCGGCAGACCCGGCTTGACCCTTTGGCGGGTCAACTTGGGGA